TTTTAACAAAGTAGCAAAGAACCCATTTAAAATATTTTGGAATGTTTGGGGGAAGGTAAAACTTGGAAGTGATGAACTTGAATCTACTCAGGGAACTGACTCAACAAACTCTTTTTTTAAAAAAAAACACAAAAACAACAAAACAAGGCTTTTAATTTAAGCACTTGTAAATGCAGAGACAACAGGGTACTTTTCTCATCTCATTTTGCTTTTCTGCACGTTAGGAGTTTTTTAATTGAGCTGGCTGTCATGCAAATTTCCTCGCGTCCACCTAGAAACACTTGTGGTGTACAGTCGAGGGGCCAAACTCATACTAGTCCTTCTTGCTTATGCACATATCTCAGAAGGTAGACAGGGAGGCTAGCATGGAGGCACCCATGCCCTCTGGAGGAGCAATGATCTTGATTTTCACACTCCTGGGAGCCAGTGCCACCATCTCCTGCATCATTCTGTGAAGCCTGAGTACATGGTGGAACCCCCAGAGAGAACTGCATTGCTGTAAAGTTCCTTGCGGATATTGATGTCACAACTTTGAATGGATTTTATGGCCATTTTATGTAGGCCACAAGTCTCCATGCCCAGGATGGAGGGCTGGAGGAGCACCTCGGGGCAGTGGAAACGTTCACTGCGAATGTGGATGAGCTGCCCATCTGGCAGCTCATAGCTTTTTTCTAACGAAGAGGAGCAGGCTCAGTGACCATCTCCTGCTCGTAGTCCATGGCTACATAACACAAACTTTTTTTTATTTTTGTGTGAGTGTACCGTCAAATCAGATCTGACTGGTACAGGAGGAGATTGTCCCTCCTTTTCCCGGCAGAGCATCTGGTGGATTCGAACCGTGTGCCTCTGGGATTGTAGTTGCAGCTCCTTGCCACTAGGCCACCAGAGCTCCCCAACACAAACTTTCTTTGATGTCACACACAATTTCCCGCTCAGCGACTGTTAAGAAGCAGTAGCCTCGCTCCCTGAGGATCATCATCAGGTGGTCAGTCAGGTTCTTGCCTGCAAGGTCAAGGTGCTGGACAGCGTGTGGCAGAGCATGACCCTCGTAAACTGGAATGACATGTGTGACGCCATATCCAGAATCTACCCCGATGCCAGTGGTGCAACCAGAGGCAAACAGGGGCATCACGGCCTGGATTGCCATATGCATGGTGGGCCTGTCGAAGCCCTCAAACATGACCTGGGCCAGCTTTTCTCTATTAGACCTGAGGCTGAGAGGGGCCTTGGTCAGCAGCACAGGATGCTCTTCAGGGGCCACACGAAGCTCACTGTAAAAGATGTAGTGCCAGATCTTCTCGATGTCATCCCAATTGGTCACCATCCATGCTGGATGAGGTACTGGAGGGCCAGGATGCCTCTCTTCCTCTGGGCTTCATGACCCATGTAACAGTCTATCTGGCCCATGCCCAGCATCATGCCCCAGTACCGAGGGCACCCCACAATGGAAGGAAAGACAGCCTCGGGGGCATCATCGCCCTCAAAACCGGCCTTGCACATGCCAGAGCCAAGGTCCACCACGATCACAGCATTCTCATCAAACACAGTCACCTTCAGAGTTGCTGGTGTCACCTTGTATCAGTGACTCTCTGGTGGTGAGGGGCTTCTGTCCCCACAATGGACACTGTCTCCGCTTTCGGTTGCAGGTTTTTTTTCTCCTCCTTATCTTCATTAGTTACAGAAGGGCATTGCTTGCAGAGAGAAAATGAAGATGCATGATCTGGTATTTTTTTAAAAAATCCTGGTCTCTAATGCAAGTGTGTCTATTATCAGTAGGAAGAGACTGGATGAGCCCTTGATGAGGGCCCATGTGTGCTGGTGGCTCTAGGCCAGGGGCAGAGCCCCCATGGGCCTTGGCAGGGCCTAACTCAACAAACTCTTAAAGAGGCCATGTGTTGAGATTTTTTTTCCACCTTGCCATTTGTAGTAGAGAGAGCTGATGCAAAACTTCTTGGCCCGAGGGCCACAGGTCCCAGGGCCCAAAACTCTTTTTCCGGCAATGGGGTCGGGGTGTGGGCTGCATAGTGCACCCTGGGGTACCTGGTATAGAATGTGCCGATCAGGAAAGTTACACCTTCTCTCCTCCTCGAATCCCAAAAACTCTTTTTCTGGCAATGGCGTCTGGGTGCGGGCTGGCTAGTGTGCCCCGGGGTATCTGATGTAGAGTGTGCAGATCAGGAAAGCTCCGCCTCTCTCTCCTCTCCGAATTCCAAAGAAAGAAATGTGCTTAAAAACAAACTGAAAAATGAAAACAAAATTTTAAAGATCTGGAAAATCCTATATGCATGTTCACCAAGGAGGTGGCTGCACAATCATTAATTATTAAGATTATGCCTACGATTGATAAGCTAACCAAGAGGAGAAAATGCATCTGTTTAGATCAAAAGGAAAAGAGACATAATGAAAGGGAAGTTGCCTGCCTCTTAGACTTCTGCAGGCAGGAAATGTACCCAAGGGGTCACCTCTGTCATTCTCCAAGGAGAAGAAAGGATCATCCCTGGAGCAGCAGAACTTTGGGAAGGAACACCGAAAGCAAGCAAGGCTACAACAGCTGCAAAGGGTGAGGCCACAGCTTTCTAGGTTGAACAGTGTCAAACTTTCATTACCTCAGTTCTGGAGTGGTGCTGTTGTTCACAAGTGTCAGGGAGATGAGGCCACTTCCCAAAGCTGAGAGAGTGCCATGTGCAAGAGGCAGAAGAGTGAGCGCTGTCAGTGCCGGGGAGCATTGGGGCTGGGCAAAAACCAGGAGAGCAGAGGTGCTTTCCCAGAGGACCTGGAAGGCAGAATAGAAAAGTCCAAGGCCACGAGGCCTCCACCCAGAATCCAGAGATCATCATCAACACCCCAAATCTTGAGGACCAGATCCAAATGGTCCCAAAGAACAGAGGTTCTACAAGGTTGTAGAACTAAAGTAAATTATTCTGCTGGATTTTGAACTTGCTTTAGCCTAAGATAGAGCTTTGGCGGTGGACTCCCCATAGGGAGTTGAATAGCCAACCCAAAGATGACGCTTCTTTGGCGTTTCAAATCCACTAGTGGCTCCGAGGGAGAAAGACAGACAATCTCTTCCTGTGCAATTTATAGCCTCCAAAAACCCACTGGAAATACAGCTATGGGTAAGTTCTAACCCCCTCATGGCAATGAGGTGTTTGGGCTTTTGTGTGTTTGTTTGTTTTCCTTATTGTGTGCCATTGAGTCAGATGAAACTGGCACAGGAAGAGATTGCCCATCCTTCTCCAGCGGATCATCTGGTGGATTTGAACCATACACCTTCAGGATTGCAGCTCAGCTTCTTGCCACTAGGACACCAGAACTCCCTTCACAATTGAGGTTTTTTTAAGGTTTCTGCCTATTGCCTCTTCTTTATCTCAAGTATTTTTCATTTGTAATGGAAATGTCTCCCTCGTGTCTGTGCACCCAATGAACTTTGGAAACAGCTCATGTCCCAGATTTCACCGGGCTGCCAATGAGGAGGAATTTTGCCACAAGATAGGATATGCCCAAAGTATCATCTGTACTTGATTTAGATGATTCAGAAGTGAGATGATGATGATGATGATGATGATGATGATGATGATGATGATTACTCGGAGTTGATTTGAAACTTTGAGCATGACCTCATAACCTAAATGTGGTGGTGGTGGTGGTGGTGGCGTTTTCTTTTTGTGTACCATTGAATCTGATCCAACTGACGCAGGAGAGAAATTGCCCCTCTTTCTCCAGCGGAGCATCTACTAAACACTGTTTTGCATGTGAAAAGAATATGAATTTGGGATAAGGGCAAAGAGTGGAATGTTAGAGATTGAATGTGTCTTAGCATTTAGCACGATCCTACCCTGGAATGTGTCGCCTTAATGTGGAGCATGTCAAGTTGCCATAGTTATTACTGGTAGGTGCCATCGAGTCAACTCTGACTCGCAGTGACCCCATGAATAATAGGTTGAAACTGTGCCTGATCCCCGTGATCTCTGACATTCATGAGCCTGCTGTTACAGTCACGGGGTCAATTCATCCCGTTGAGCACCTTCCTCTCTTTCGCTGACCTTTCCCAGCATAATGTCTTCTCCCAAGGACTAGATCTTCCTGACAACATGCCCAAAGTATGTGAGATGAAATTTCACCATCCTTGCCTCTAAGGAGCACCTTGATGCACTTCCTCCAAGACAGATTTATCTGTGTCATCTCTCGGGGGGTAGTGAGTAAGGAGTTGCACTGCCAAGCTGAGGAAAGCTGGTTCAAATCCACCAGCTGTTCCTGTCGAGAAAGAGAGGCAATTCTTCTCTCATGCAATCAAGCTATCACCTCTGAAAACCAGCTGGAGGCTCAGCTCTAAGTCAGTTACAGTCCAATGGCACATTACAACAAGCAACAATCATGAGATGTGTGGACTTCCCATGTGGCATGTCATTCATCGTGGCCAGGATTGTGTGATCTCAGCCCATTGGGGGAGGCTGGGCTTCCATGGTCACCCAAGAGCACCAGGGACTGTCTCGACACCAGGCCCTGGGTTGTTCCCACAACTAGCAACCATCTAATAGCTGGGGATAGACAGGTGAACCCCCATCAACTCCCACCCAATGCGCCCCCCCCCCAGTGCTTAGGGCTTTCAGTGCCAGCTGAGCAGGAGGAGGCAGCATCTAGGTTAGGAGCTGGCGGGAGCAGGAAGAGCATCTGGTGGACCTTGTTCAATGCCATGTTCCATGGGGGACCTGAGCTCCAGGGCTGAGTAGGCAAACTGTGCAACCAGGGGTTCCCAGGTCAACACCTACTTCTCTCCCTACCAGGCCAGGGTTTTGGGTCCCACACCTCAGCCTGCAAAAACTTTCCCTTCCTGGTCCCAAGAGCAGGTGTGGCCACCCCCAGGCCCACTCTGCCCCTCCCTTTCCACCCGCCCCTGCATGCCTGCCTCTCATAAATAGGAGGCTGCCTGGCCAGTCTCAATTCACATCCTGGCCTTGTCTTCTGCTGAGCTGATACCATCGTGCCCAGCTGTCAGGACCATGGACGCGTCTACTCCTGCAAGCTCTGACTTTAAGGTATCCAGACAGCTGGAGGCAGAGGGGTATCATATGGGCAGGGAACCATGGGCAGGAAGAGTTCTTCAGGGCTCTGCTTCCCACTGCGGCCTCTGGGATGATGCTGTCAAGGCAGGATTCTGGCTGGGAAGATGCTGCAGTCACCCAGGGCCTTGCCCTCTCCTCTCTGAGCAGGGAGCAATAACACACACACACACACGTGTCCGTGTGGTGGGTGAACAGAGCCACTGAAGGCGCCCAGGGTGGGCACCTCCCAGAGTGTGTCCACAAGCCACATACCACACAGGGATATGAGTGGGAGTGTAATTGGAGCCAGGTCAGAAGAGGGTGGGGTACTAGCAGCATCAGTGGGGTGCCTAATGGGCTTTAAAGACAGCATATGTGTACAGTGGTGTGCATGTGCGTGTATGCACACAGGTGTATGGATACACATGTGGGGATGTGGATTTGTGTTCTGGGCTATGTTTGAGAAACCTTGGGTCTCTGTGAGTCTCTGCCCTGGTACTCAGGTCCCCAACGTCATCTCGGAGAAGGCCTGGCTACACTGGTTGGTCTGCAAGACTCTCTGTTCAGAGATGCCCCTTTGCCTGCCCTTGTAGCCCCAGCTGTGCTAGGAGAGGTCAAGTAGGAGAAAGCTAGTCTAGGTGAAGAGGAAAGGCAATTAAAAAAGTCAGACAGAACCTTCCAGGGTCTCCTTGCCTCACCTGTAAGGTGGTAGCTGATCGGTCCTATCTTACCAAGGTGCTTAACGTGGAGACATGTGTGGGTACCACTGGATGCTATTGGGGCCCACGCTGGCATGAGGAGCCCCAGGGGCCACGAGGCCAGGGGACCGGGGGCTCTGATCCTGCCCTCCATGCCTCACCCCTGGGGCCCGGCACAACTGGCTGGCCTGCCTCTGCAAGCACTTCCCAGCATGCACGTGAGCAGCTTGCCTGGACTTACCTGCTGGGACACACAATTGGCTGAGACCCAGCAGGTGCTCCCCCCAGCCCAGCCTCCTCCCCAGGGCCTTCCCAGCACCTGGGCAGCAGGAAGAGGCCAGAAGGCTCAGCTAATTCACACCACGATGAGGGGACTGTGCAAAGCTCACAGGAGTCATGTGCAAGTGTGGCCAGGCCCCACAACGGCCACCTGCTGGTCCTTGTGTTCAGGGAAACTGAGCTCCAGGCATGTCCAAGAGGGAAGTTGGCCAAGGGACCGTGGAGGCAGGCAGGACACAACCAGAGTCCTAAAGTGGCCCTTTTCCCCTGGACCTCCCAAGTCCCCATACTTAGCTGGCCCCACTTGCCCACCTTACCCTGAAACCGAGGTACTGGAAAGGGGTTCTCCAGAGGCTCAATTCAGCGATGGTGCCTTGCCCTGGAGCACAGCATTGGACAGAGCTCAGGCCTGACCTTTTTCCCAAACTGGGCTAGACCAGCTTGGCTCTACACTTACTGGTTAAATAGCATTGGGCCTTTGAGAATATAGACCCAAGACAATGTCCAACACCTGACCAGGTACCATGGAATTTGAGTTGCCAAGGCCCAAACTGTCTCAAGTCTGTAAGGGCGGGGGAGGGACCTGGCAGGGCCAGAAGCCTGCTATAACACTTGTCTACCCCAGGCAGGAGATGGAATCCCCAAGGCCTCAGAAGGACCAGTGACCTGGAGGTACCCCCAGGCACAGCTATCAGCACCACCACTGCCACAGCCTCTGCCCCCCATGAAGGAACACCAGGATGAACTGGAGGAGCTGCACACCTCCTTCACAGAGCTGTTTACCTTCTTCTGTGCCAATACCACCATCCATGGCCCCCGCCACCTTGTCAGCCGCAGTCGCCTCCGAAGGGTGACCTGGGGGCTGCTGCTCCTGGGTGCCCTGGGCATGTTCTGCCATCATCTTCAGAAGAGGAACAATGACGTTACCCACGGGGACAGCAAGCCCTCCCTGGCAATCACGCTGTGCGACATGAACCCACACCGGTGAGGGCAAAGTTCGGGGGAAGGGAAAGAACAGGAGTTAAAATAGGGCAGGGCCAGTGCTGTGGGGGGTGCAAGCTAAGAGGGCAACTTCTCACCTGGCAACCTGTGGGCACCCTCCATATTGCCTCCTTTAGCTGGCCAGTGATGACCTCATCTCCTCCCAACTCTTGGCCAGCCAGGGCCTTCTGGACCTTTGCTTGGAGGAGGGGGAGGGATAAAGACACACAGCAGGTACAGCCCAATGTGACCAGCATGTCCCCAGGCTCAGAGGAGGGAGTATGCTTTTCTGAAGGGCAGCCCAGAGTTGAGCTGCGGTGCCAATCATTGAGAAGGGAGCAGAGCTGGACTTGGGAGTTGAGGCATCAGGGGTGCAGGCAGAGGGGATAGGTGGGCCAGGATGATTGAGCCTGCAATGGGGACAGGGCATGAGAGCCAGGCTGGGTTGAGGGATCTGCCACATTCTGTAGTCTCTAGAACCCATGGAAAGTTCCTAAGTTTGGTTCCAAAGCACCCCTTCAGGTGTCCAGGGCTGGGTGGCATACAGAGACTAACGCTGCAAGGTCTGCTACCTTGGGGGTCAGTGCAGCCCATCCCAGCAATGCCCAGGAACTGGGGTGAGGAGCCTCAGGACTGGAGCTCTGAATCACCATGCCCACTTATCTCACTCAGGCTTGTTCGCCAGCACCTGGAGGAGCTGGACAAGTTTGCACGGGAGAATATCTACTCTCTGATCAAGTTCAACATCAGTGAGACCAGCGACCCCACTAGGACCACTCCAATGGACAAAGGCCCAAGCCCTGAGTCAACCTTCCGGCTGGCCCGACAGCTCCATCTTCAGATGCTGAAAGAACCAGGCAGGCATTCTAAAGTGGGGTTCAGACTGGTGAGTGCCCTGCTGGGGCCACAGCAGGGGTCACTACATGCTGTCTCCTTGAGGGGCGAGTGGAGAGGAAAGCACTGCATGGGAGGGAGGGGCCTGTGGCCACAGGGCTGATCCCCCCATCACCCCTCAGTGTAACAGCACAGGAGGAGACTGCTTCAACCGCACCTTCTCCTCGAGGGAGAAAGCTATCCGTGAGTGGTACCACTTCCACTACATGAACATCCTGGCTGCCACCCAAGAACACAGCTACAAGAACCCCTTCATCCTCTCCTGTGAGAACAACCAGCAGGACTGCGAGGCTGAGTGAGGATTGGGACCAGACCGGGTGGGTGCACCCCCGGGAGAATGGCTGGCTGGAGGCTGTCGGACTTATAAGCCCCCCCTCAGATGAAGCAGGCTGTGACCCCTTCAGGCCAACTGAACTTGGGTGGTGGAACACCTATCACTAACATGGGCCTGATGGAGCTTCGCTCTATTCCAGGAGCTTCTACCATCACATTTACGGCAACTGCTACACCTTCAATGACATCTTGGCCTCAACACACCAGCATGCCACACAAAGTGAAGAGCGACTCTGGCTAAGTGGAGGTGCGGCTGAGTGGAGTTGGGCAAAGAGAGGGCCAGGCAGAGGTGAAGGTGGGGGTGCCCAGAGCCAGAGGGTAGACAGAGCGCCTGCTCAGTGGGGATATGGGAAGAGGGATGGAGTGGGTGGGCAAGGGATCAAATTGAGTGCCGGGTAGGGGCTTTGAGGAGCCAGCAGGAGGCTTCATCCTGTCACCATCCTCTAGGGATCACCCTGGTGCTCAGAGTGGAGCCACAGGACCACCTACCCTTGCTGTCCTCTGATACGGGCATAAAGGTCACGATCCACAAACGCAACCACACCCCCTTTCTGGAGCCGCCCTTCCTGGAGCCCCGCGTTCCAGAGTCCCAAATCTTCAACATCTTGCCGAGGACCGAGACCACCATCAGCATAGGAGAGGTGGGTGGCTGCTCTTCTGGGGTAGGCAGGGCTGTGGGAGGGCGTGGTCTACGCAGGGGGCGTGGCTTTGGGCGGGGTAATGCGTGGGCGTGGCCTGGGGAGGAGTCTGGCTCTCTTTGGGCGGGACCCATGGCAGGAGTTTGAAACTGCAACTTATTTCCTCCCCCCAAAAGGAATCCTGGTTCCCGAACCAATTTGCAAGCTGTGTGGACGGAGAAAAGGGCACAGACATGCAATTGCTGTACAATAAGTCCTATACCAGGCAGGTACGCTCTCAGAGTGGGCACCATGCTTCCCAGGGCGGAGCAGGGCCACACAGTCAGGGACCACGAGAGACGGCTGCTGCGGAGAAGAAGGAAAGTGGTTGTGTAGGCAGACAGGCCCCGGTGGGAGAATGATGGTGCTCAGGATCCCCAGTTCCCATCCCTTCTTTTTCTCCTAGGCCTGCCTGGTCTCCTGCTTCCAGCATCAGATGGTCAAGGACTGCTTCTGCGGCTACTACCGCTACCCTCTGCCGGCAGGAGCCGAGTACTGCACCTCTACCCGGTACCCAGCTTGGGGTGAGCAAGCCCACCACCTACCACCTTACCTCCTTGACCAGGGTTGAACCCCGGCCGGCTCACTGGGACTGCCTGCTCGGGTTGGACTCTCACCCATTCACCCCTACACCTCCCAGCCATCTTGGAGAGGACTCCTAACGGGTGATCTGTAACCCCCATCTCCAGGTCACTGCTTCTACAGCCTCTACCAGGAACTGGAAACTCGCAACCACTCTTGCTTCTCCAGCTGCCCCAGGTCCTGCAGGTGAGCAGATTGCACAAGGCGGGGACAGGTCACTACCTTAGGTACCAAGGCAGGGGGCTAACAGGTTGATCTGTCTTTCCTAGTGAATCTTTACATAAGCACTCCGTGGAAACTTCCAAGTGGGCTTTGTCCGAGTCTGCTGTAAGTAACCCTTAAAGGAGTGGAGGTGGATGGGGGCAGCCCTCGGACCTTGGTGCTAGGGGTGGGGGACTGGGCAGGAGACAATCGCCACATGGAACCTTCTGTGAATAGGACTGGATCCTGGCTATGCTTGAAGGCCCCGAGAAAGAAAACCAGAGCCCAGGGTAAGTTGAAAGCTTCCCCAGGGGGTCCTGTCCTAGCCTTTCACCCTGCCAGTAACATACCCTAATGCCCCCGTCAGAGGCCCCAAGGAAGCACCCCACAAAGCAGGGCAAGCGAGACCTGTGGGCCTACTCCCTCAGACATGTGTGTTCCTACCCAGGAGCAGCATCGCCAAAGTGAACATCAACTGGAGGCTCAACTACTTCAAGATGGAAAGGACACCAAAGGTAAGCTGTCAGGTGGGAGCTGGTCAACGAGGGGCGGGGCAAGGGCCGCCTGGTGCTGGTGGCCCTGCCCAAGCTCACTGAGGGCCTCACCACAGGAGGGCCCCATCCTACTTAAGCTGCTCGAAGAGATGAAGAATCTGATGGGCCAGTGTTTTGGCATGTCCATGCTGTCCGTGATGGAACTGCTGGAGCTGCTGTTTGACTCTGTGGCTCTCTCCCTGCTGCTGGGCTACCGCTGGCTCTATGACATGTGTGCATCCCGGGCCAAGTGCAGCACAAAGGCAAGATCAGCTCATGCCCAGCTAGAAGCTGGCCAGATCCCCAACAGCTGCCAACATGAACCCAAGCAACCCGGGGGTCAAGCCAACTTCATCGCCCATGGACGCTTCCAGGGACCCTGGGGGGGAGACTCAGCTAAAGAGTTAGGGCTGGGAGCCCCTTGCCAACCCCAGTCCTAGCACCTGAACTAGCTCTGCAGGAGCCATCAGCCATTTTGCCTGATCTTCAGAGCTGTGGCAAAATCTGCCCAGTGCAGGCCAGATTGCCCGCAAGCCCAGAAGTCCAGAAAGTGCAACACCTGGCGAACAAGGGCCAGACTTCTGGTACATCCAGGCCTGTTATGGGCCCAGCTGCCCTCCCTAGAGGTGGCATCACAAGTCTCAGGGGGCCCAGGCCAGAGAGGAGGGAGCGTCCACACCAATCTGAATGCCCATGTTTCAGGGGTGACCCTGTGTGCTCGTGTGCCTCTGCATGTATGTGTATTCATCAGCTTTGTGTGTCTGTGTCTGGAGGGGATGCATGTCTGTGTCAGCGTGTGGTGTGTCCATGTGTGTGAGGGATTCGCCTGTGTTTCAGAGCATGGAGACTCATCTGTTAATATCCATTATCATTTATCAAGTAAAGGCTGCTGATCATTGGGGCAGCCAAGCCATTTGGTGACCTTGAATTGTTTTGTAATAAAATATTGTTTCTACCTACTGGCTAGTGTTTATTTGCATCCCCATATCACTCTGCTTTGGCTAGGCTGACACCTCCTTAGCAGACCACAGCAGTAACATGGGAGGTATATAGACAGAAGGGTGAGGTAGGGTCAAAGGGGGTAATGGGCAAAGGGCCAGCTTGCAGGCCCTGGGAGTGGCCAGCTTCTGTTGGTGTCACCCTTTCCATCCTATCAGAGAAGGCTAAGGATGTTAAGAGTCAAAGTGTTGGAACTTTCATTAAAATTAATAAAATAAAAGGAAAAAAGAAAACATAAACAAGCTGGAAAAAAAAGTGTTGGAGCTTTGGTGACCTAGTGGTTAGGAGCTGTGCTGCCAACCTGAAGGCATGTGGTTCAAATCCACAAGCTGCTCTACGACAGAAAGATGGACACTCTCCTTTCATGTTCTTCATTGAAAACCCACCGGAAGGTCAGCTGTGGGTCAGTTCCAACTCAGTGGCATAATAACAACAGTATGTGCAAATTCTTAAATGGCACAGAGCATGAAAAGAAGACAGAAAGACTATAGTGTCACGGTACCAAAAACGTTTAAAAAGTCAAGAGTTAGGTCTCCTGTGTGCTGCAGCCATGATCATTCCCATGCGCTGTGTCTCCTGCGGCAAGATCGTGGGCAACAAGTGGGAAGCCTACCTGGGGCTGCTACAAGCCGAGTGCAGTGAGGCGGACGCCCTGGACGCACTGGGCCTGAAATGCTACTGTTGCCGCCGCATGCTGCTGGCCCATGTGGACCTCATTGAGAAGCTGCTCAACTATGCTCCCCTGGAGAAGTGACCACCCTGGAGAAGTGACCACCCTGGAGAAGTGACCACCCTGGAGAAGTGACCATGGATGGCTATGCCTCCAGGGCTGGGGCTCCGAGTGGGCTTGGCCCAGCCCAGCCCATGTCACCTCGGTCACTGCACCTCTGCTGACCCACAGATCGAGGCAGTGGTGGAATAAAACTTGTTGAATATAAAAAAAAAAGATCAAGAGTTCATCAAAATAGCTCCATTATTCTTATCAGGCCCCCTGCAGGTGAGGGCTGGGCTCTCCAGTTTGACCAAGGCTGAGAGTTGTCATTTTGGTGAAGAGATGCTTGTCATGCCCTACTCCTTTCGGAGAGGGCGGGAACCAGAAACAGAGCGAACACAGCCAATGAGCAGGCGGCAGAGATTTATTGACAGTGTGTAATCCGGAGTGGTGGGGCTCAAGCAGGGAGAAAGGAAGGAGTTAATTTTCTCTTCAGGGTTCACAGCCAGCAGGAGAGGGAGTTGGGGGTGCCTCAGGTCAGCCTTACCACCCACTGAGCCTCTCCGGACAGCATTTTGCATAATGGCCAGTTGACTGGCCACCGTTGGGGAAAGGGCCCAGCCACTGCCCCAGCCTTCCTTCAAAAAAGGGAAACAAAGAGGGCATTGGTGGGGCCCTGAAGATGCTGAGAGACCCCTCGCCCCAATGAGGGCCCAGCCCAAGGGGCAAGGCTGGTGGGGGCAAGGCCAGGCTGCAGGCAGAACCAGGGAAGGGAATCCTCTAGCATCCACAGAAAAGACGCGAGACAATGCAGAAAGGGCGTCGTAGAAAACCCGCTGAGCCGTAACAAAGGACATCGGATGCGGGTGGAAAGTGCCAAAGTTGCTTTATGCAGGGCTCTGGGTCGAGTACCGGAGAAGGTGTCTCCGGAAGGGCAGGGACAGGCCTGGGGTCGTCCCGCACCTTGGGCCTGTGTGGCCAGCCACAGGGCCCAGGACGCCAGCGTCCAGCAGAGGCCTAAGCCCCAGACCAGAGTCCTACCCACTCAGCACCTTCAAAGCCCAGCCTGGATGCTGGGTCCCTAAGTGAGGTACACGGGGTTGATCCCTGGATGGGCTATCCCTCCCTGCCCTGGTAAGGCACTGGTGGCCAGCCACCAGCCTTGGGGCCTAGAGAAGGGGCTCTGGGAAGAAGGAACTCAACTGGCAGGCCAGTGTTCTGGGGCAGTAAAAGTGGGGCACAAGGTGACATGAGCTCTGAGGACAGAGAGGGCACAAAGTGGCATGGGCCCCAGGAGGTGACCTGGGTTCTACAAGGTGACCCAGGCCCCAGTGCAGAAGAGGGCACAAGGTGACACAGGCTGAGAGGGCACAAGGTGGCATGGACCCCATAAGATGACCCAGGTCTCAGGGCAGCAAGGGCACACGAGGTGGCATCGACTCCAAATGGTGACCTGGGTCCTAGGTTTCAGGGGCACACATCAGATGACCCACACCCCAAGGGCAAAGAGGGCACAAGGTGACATGGGCCTTGAGTGGTTTGTGGTGTGAGCAACCCAAGCCCCAGAGGAAGGGTGGGTCACTTGAGGACATAGGATTCCCCAGGAGAAGTGAGGGCTACCAGGTGATGTGGCCTCCCTTCCTGAGAAAAACCTAGGGCTTGAAGACTCAGTGTCCGGCTCCCTCCCCCCTCCTGAGAAGTCTGGGCAGTTTGGAGGAGGGGAGAGTGGGTGAGCAGCGCCCCAGGAGCACCTGGCATGGGGGCTGTTGGAAGTGGGCCCAGGTGTGGTCACAGGCAGGGCCGGGGGGCGGGCAGGGCCAGGGTCTCCAGGAGCATGCGGGGTGGCCGGGCCGACGGCCGGGTGCCGGGGTAGGGTCCCGCGGCTGCCCGGCCGGCCCGGCCCTAGCTCTCCTCCAGATGGAGGCCAATGAATTCCTGGATACACCTGCGGTACTGGAGCTCCGTGGGGCTGCTGCCCGCCAGCGGGCCCGGCTGGCCAGGGGGTGCCTCGGCCTCACGCATCTCCTCTGTCATTCGCGCCAGACGGAGCCTGTGGACAGAACCGTGAGACATCCACCAAGGAAAATCCCACCCTTATCCGAAATGAAGAATAGGTCCCAGGACTCCACCTAGCCTCTGAGACTTATATGGTTAGATTCTCCACAACCTCATCCAACCCCTGACCTCCTAGGACCGCCCACCTCTCTGACCTCACCCCACCTCATGACTCACCCTGCAAGAACCCGCCCCTGGAGCCCCGCCTCCTAGAGCCCAGCCCCCAGAGCCCTGTCTGGCAGACACACACACAACACATACACACACCCCGCCCCCGCCAGCGCCTACACTACACGTACAAGGTGACGATGTCTGCGTTGGCCGCCTGCACTGCGATGCTCAGTGGGTCCTGCTGGTCATGGTCGAGAGCGTGCTGATCGGCCCCCCGCTTCAAGAACAGGCAGACCTGGCTATGGAGTGAGAGGGGCCGAGTTGGGGTGGGCTCAGAACGCGTTGGCAGGGGCTAGGGTGGGAGGCTGGGCAGGGAGGGCTGCTCACCCAGTACGGCCTAGGAGTGTGGCGTGGTGCAGGGGCGCTCGCCCCCGGCTGTCTCTTTGGTTCACGTCCGCTCCATTTTGCAGAAGGAATTCACAGACGATCAAGGAGCCCTGTGGAGTAGGGGTTGTCAGGATAGGCGCCCCCTCCCCCTGTCCTCTGCACCCATCCAGCGATGGGGACCCTGCCAGTTCCGAGTCTGGTCTCTGCAGAGCCAACGGATCCTTGTGTGGGCACCACAGAAGAACAGGTCAGGAATATGCAAATGCACGTGTATTATGCAAATACATGTCAAATTACTCAAATGAGCCTATGTTCCAGTCCACTGTTGCCCTGGACAATAGCTCCCCCTACTCACCCCTAGCACAGCCTGGACCAGTGGTGTCTTGCCTTCGTCCTCCGAGTCAGCCCAGTTGACCTCAGCCCCGTGCGCCAGCGCCGCAGCCAGTGCGGGTAGGTCGCGGGTGCGCGCAGCACGATGTGCTAAGAGCCCGGGATGCAGCTCACGCACATCAGCCAAGCCCCAGGCCTCCGCCTCTCCATCTGCTTCCCCGCTGGAAGCCTCCGACTCCCCGCCCTCTGCAGAGAGGGGTGCGGTCAGAGGCTGCATCACGGCCAGAGGACGCTGCAGCTGTGTCTCCCTCCCCCCACCCCGCAGCGAAGGGGCCCAGGGCACTAAGGGGCATACACTCACCCTCCTCTGTAACGCTGTCCACTACGGAACCCTGCCCGAAGGCCAGTACATCTGAGCTGCCATCTGAGCTGCCGCCCAGGCCGCTGTCGCTGCTCAGACCTGTGGGGACAGCGAACAGAGGGGTTCCTGAAAGTGAGGTCCTGAGCTCCAGTACCCCAGGAGAAAGGCTGAACCCTATCCTTCCCAGAGCAGCCTAGCCCCAGGCTTGGAGAGGGTGCAGCAGCGCCCTCTGCTGCATGCTGTCACCCCTCAGGGCGGCCTCTACAGCCCTCTCACTCCTGGCTCCTGTCCAGTCAATCCCTTCTGCCCACACTGCCCAGGAAAGGTCTGCACAGCGTCCTACGTCAGTGGGCTCAATAAACCTTCAACACTCATCTCCGTGGCTCAACTTTCAGCCAAACAATAAAATGGCCTATTAAAAAAACCACATCGCTAGGGAGCCTGAAGGAACTCAGATTGCTGGAAGCTGTAAATGGCACAGATTACTTATCTTTCGCCACCACCAGAGAGGTATCACTTTTGCATTGGCATGGAAACTCCCTAAGGACTACACCACCAGAACTCTCTAAGAGGTCTGTAAGTTGGCCAGTAACAGGAGTCAGACACTCACTCACTCCTTAGAAAAACCAATCACAAAGAGGCAAGAGAACAGTACTTGTTCAGGGCCAAAGTCCTACAGGCAAAATGAATGACTGACTGAATGAAAGATAAATATATTTTGTAAACTTTCACTCAAATCATAGTATTAAAAACATAATAAATAAATTTAAATTATTTGTCTTGCTTGTAGCATTTGCTGTGATATAAATAAATATGCCCACCAGTCAATTCCAAGCAGAGTCGAGAAAGATGTACAAAATTGTCTTTTATGAGCTGGTTCCTAAACATCACTGCTCCAGAATACACGCATGCATGCATACACACACACAAACACACACACACACACCCCGAGGATACACAGCCTGTCACATTCCCACTTAGACAATCCTCCAGTCTCATGTGCACACACACACACACACACACACAGATACGCAGATACGCTCACACATATACACACCTCTGTGCACACCACACAATCTTATGCATTCACACACATCCACCTTGTGTGCACACAGCTACACACACATAGACTTGCATACATCAGCCTCACCAGCCTTTGTCTTGGCTGCCAGGCCAACATGCATCTGAGATCCTCTCGGAATGCTATTTCTGCTGTAGTTCCACCAACTTCCTCCCTTCTCCATACTCCTAGACCAAGCTCTCTGTAACATCAGCTGCTTTCTCAGCCTGGTCATTCTCACAGACACTCCTGTGCCTCAGCAAGCAGGTGAGCCCTGCCCTTGGCCCCAGCTCTGCTGGCCTGGCTAGGATTTAAGGGCTATATGACAGGACGATGAAGGAGGGCTCCCTAGGACTTACTGCGTGGACCTGCACCAGCAGCCCCTGCATCAAAGTAGGAGAAGAGGGAATCCAGCTCATCTGGGCAGAAGAGCGAGTCTCGGCGGAACTTGCGCTCCAACGTACCAGCTGCAGAAGGTTCAGATTGTGAGAAACTGAGGTCCAGGGTGGGGTGGGCTACCCCAGGACATTCTGGGAGTTGGAATCTGTGAGCCCCTGCTTTCTTTCTAAGCACTTGAGCTGGGGGCTAAGCTTTGATAAGAATGCAATCCACTGAGGATCCTGGTACCTGAGGACAGGGCCACAACCGAGGGCAGGGTGGGCTCGAGCCGGACCTTGCGACGGGCAGTGGGAGCCCGGGGGGAGCTGTGGTGCCGCTGGCACTTCTGCACCCGCCAGT